CTGGGTGACCCCAAGCAATTTACTCCCTTCACTTCTCCATGCCTCAGCTTCCTCATCTATGAAATGGGGTAACAGTGGCTCCCACCTCGCAGGGTTGTTCCAAGGTTGTTATAATATGCAGAGCGCTTAGAACATCGCCTGCCATGGAGTAAATGATGTCATGTGAGCCGCTTTATTATCCTTTAAATCACTCTTGAGAGTGAGGAAAGGAAGAAAGGAGTGGCAGGAGGTGGGGCAAGGAGAAAACATTTCTCCAAAGTGGCTTTTTCCCTGTCCTCTCCAAGGTTGAGCCCCAGGCAGATGTGGCAGGGGCTTGGCCAATTCGCTGCCATCGGGGAGAATCCTGACTTGTGCCCTCCTGCCCTTGTGCCCTCAGAGGGAAAAGAGAAAATGGGACTGAGTGTCTCAGGCACGTGAGGATGGAAATGGTGGCTTGGGTGTCACCAGGCCTTTCCTGTCCTGACCCCTAGCTCTTTCTGGGACTGAGGCCAGTTTAAATTGCTTTTGGTGGGGCAGTGAGGACTGGCAGGGCCAGCTGCACGAGGGCTGAAGGAGGAGGGGGCCTGGGATGCTCAGCTCCTAATGTCCCCTTGCAGACGTCAAATGGGGGCATAGGGACCCGACATGGAGCCTCAAGCCGAGAGGGGAAGAGGAAGAACATTCTGATGGGATTGTCTTTACCCTCACCCTGCTTTCCCTGTCAGCTTCTTTTTGGCCAAGTCTAGGATCCTGGAGCTGGTCCCATCTGCGCTGAAGGTCTAAGGCTCACCCGGAGATACCAAGGGACAGAGGCATCCACAGTTGTCCACAGTCCCTCTCACAGTACATGTGGGTGGCTCAAGGTTAACACTCCAGCCAGAGTTTGGTCAGCTGCCAGGGGGATTTAATCCCAACTTGCTTCTGCCTCTTCAGGCTGGGTGCCATCTGTGGCCACCTACTTGACCTCAAAGCCCAGCGGAAGTATCACCTCTGTGGGACCACCCCAGCTTCCTGGGAAAGCTCTTCGTTTCCAGCAGAGAAGAGTTCTCTGTTCTCTCCCCTATGGCCCTTGATCATGAACCAACATGTCTACGCTCTGCATCCCCACCCCGCCCCTCCTGACTTTGCGCTCCGAAAAGGGCAGGACTGGGAAGCCTTATTCAGCCTTTTTCCCACAGCCCCTAGTACACTGCCTGGCACGTGGCAGGGAAATGTCCGAGGGACTGCCAGCAAATGTCCATATGCTCAAGGAATGCTGACCTGCTGTGTTATCAGCCAGAGATGACCAAAAACACCCAACCCCCAAATCACACACTGTCTGCTGCTCTCCCCTCTGCCCTAGCTTCCCCAGCCACTTCCAATTTGCACCTTAAATTCCCTAGAGAACAACGCAAGGTGTGTGTAAAGATTTAAAGTATCATGGCATGCACACCAAAGAAGTATTGATGTGCCTGGTTCTAAACTTGTTCCTGGTCCCACAATAGCCTCATCCCTACTCCCTACAGAGGTAGGTGACAGAGTTGCAGGTGCTCATATCTTTAAGGATTGCTGTTAGGAGGAAGTTCACACATCAGACACTGGGCAGACTGAACTAGGTCTAGGAGGGATTCCTTCCAGAAATGTGTCAGGGAGGAGAGTCCCTATAGAGACTTCCTGCTCAGCCTGAGCCATTTAATCTAGTTATGGGGTGGAGTGGGGTGGGGAGGGGGTTCCACAAACTGTGATTCCAGTGTGCTGCCAGGTTTGAGAGCTCCCACAGAGATGGGCTCAGGACTCCTTCCAGACCAAAGAAAGAAGGAAAAAAGTATGCCAGTCTGTTTCTCCCTCTCCCCCTGCACTTGATGAAGGAAGGTCTCTGCTCTACCCTGCTAGACTGAAATACTCAGCTAAACATGTCACACCCCATGTGCTCACACACAGACACACATGGAAGCCACCATGCTCACTGACATGCCCACAGACACACCTGCTGACATGGCCCAGCCAGTGGGTGCACACACATACATGCATGCAAAACACACACACACCCCTCTGACCTCGCATGAGCCAACTGCTCTCTCTGGCCTGTGTTTGCTCCTCTCCTAAACACACAGGCCCCAGACTGAGTGGCCCAGGGCACAATCCTGGAGCCAGCTGCCTGGATTCACATCCTGGTGTACCACTTACTAGCTGGTGACTTGGATCCTTTGAGCCTCTGTTTCCTTACCTTTTAAAAGGGATTGCCATTCACAGTATGGTTGTGGGGAACACACATGGAGAATATGAAAGTGCTGTGAGCAGTGCCAGCCATTATTATTATCATTAGAGTTATTACTATGATTGTTTTTCTCCTTCCAACTTTGATATCCCAGGCTTCTGTGGTTCTCTACACACTTGCAGACCCACTACCTACTCTACACAGATGCAGTGACGTGTGCCCCCATGTGCATGGGCAACACATATGGACACACCCACACACCGATGTGCACTTCTGAGGTAGGCTGACACAGAAATGCACACACACAGTTGTAGAATGCTAACCAACATCAGTAATGTACACTGCGGGGAAACCAAGACCACAATCACGTAACACCCCCTCAAGAAACACACAAGTCATGGCTCCCTAAGACGGGCAGTGCCCGCCCCACATCATGAGTAGAAACTGAGCCCAAGACTGACTGACTGTACAATAGGACTGTGCCTGCTCCCCAAATCTCCCTCCTCACCCCCTTGGCCAGAGTTCCCCAATGTGATGGCTCCCAGGACATCAGTGGGAATCTGAAGGTGAGAAAAAAAACCCAGATAGCTGAGCTCCTTCACTCTGAGATCCAAATGGCATACAGCCATCAGGAAGAGACTGCTGTTATGAGAACCAGAACCTAGGCCCCCTGACTTTAATTTTGGGCTTTCTCTCTACCCCATACCACCACTATCTGGCTTCTTTCCTAGGCTCTGCGCTTCCTGTGGGCACAACCTATTGTGCATACGATCTCTGATGCCTTGGGTACCCAGCATACAGTAGACACTCAGTAAGTGTGGAATGACTAGGTGTTGAATGAATGAGTAAATAAGTGAATGAATGACAGGGGAGTAAGGGAGCCCCAAATAGCTCTTGCTCCTTCTACTGTTTACCCAGTGCTGGTCCTGGGGAAACGATGTTCAGGTCAGCGACAGTCACGCTAGCCCACACCTTGCCCCAGCTAAGCCTCCAGCTTAGGCTGGCTAGGACCTCTCTGGATGGGGGCTCATGGTACCCCCTTTCTGAGCCCCCAATTTTCTAGAGTCCAGGACAAGGCCAGAATGCACACTCCTCAGGATCTCGACTCAGAGGTCCTCTCTTCCAGACACAGGGATGGGGCCTGAATACAGCTCTATCTGGAGCTACCCTCATGCTCCAGGTCGGGCCTCCCAATCTGAGCACACAACAGAACTGGCCCCAGCCCTGCATCTCGTCATCTCCCAGAGCCATCCGGGTGCAAGTCTCCAGGGTGGCATGATAAAGCAGATGCGGCACAGCCCCTGAGCCCTCCGGCATCACCTCTTTGGCTCTCCCCAGCCCCTCTGAGGGAACATGGGCCCTATGCAGCACTTCCTGGATCAGAAGTCACAGAGAGACTAGGCCAGGTCAATGGCTTCCTGCCCGTTCTGACACCCCATCCTTGCCAGAAGAAAGTAATCAAAATACCATGAGCCATTCTGTAGACCCTCAGCCCAGCATTCGCGACTCAGCCACCATCTGGCACCCCCACCCCTGTTCTTCCAGCATTGTCCCTCAGTTCCTCCCCTCCATATGAAAAGGTGCCTGACCAGGTCCTCCCAGGGCTCCCAACATGTCTGCCCCATGCCCAGTCTAGGGTCCCCCCTGCCTTGGTTCCATTTCTCCTCATCACTGTCTGTCCATCCTGGCTCTCGGGGCTCGCCTCCTGCGTGGAGCCTGCCCCAACCATAGAAAACTCCCTGCCCATCCCTGCAGCCCTCACCCCCTTCCGCCACCCCTTCCCTTGTTTCCAGGACCCCTCTCCCTGGGTGTTCCTCCCATGGTCTGATCCCTCTTTCTGTCTTTCTCAAAGGCCCCTTTTCCTCTCATACCCCCAGAGGTGAGTGTTTCCTGGTTCTGCCTTCACCATTGGTTCTCCCTTCCTCACACAATCCTCTTAGATGACATCACTCAGTCCTGTGGCTTCCAAGAATCCCAAATCCATATCGATGGCTGAAATCTCTCCTGAGCTCTGAGGCCTCCACGTGGACATCCCACAGGTACCATGAGGTCATTGGGTCCAAATCTGAGTCTACGCTCCCTTCAAATCACTCAGTGACAGCATTGCCGTTCACCCAGAGTGCTGGGCATCAGCCAAGACCCCCTCCGCTCTGTCACAGCCCCCTCAGTCCTCTCCCCAACACCTCTTAGCTCCATCCACCTTGCCCCACATCCAGAGCCCCTACCCTGGTCCAAGCCACCCGGGCACTCTCTCCTGCTAGCGCCTGTCATGCGGCCTTCCCATTTAGAGTTTGGTGCCCCTCCAGTCCACTTCCCACACAGCAGCCAGAGGGATCATTCAAAAGTACCAATGGAATCATGCCGCACCCCTGTTTAAAAGACTTCGATGGCTCACCAAGTTTTCAGAATCGAGCCCCAACCCCTTGGATTAGCCCCAAGGCCCTCCAGGACAGGGCCCCAGGACCTACCCCGCAGCCTCATCTGCTGCAAAGTGCAATTAATTGGCACAGTGCTTTCTGATCGCCACCTCTGGGCCTCTGCACATGCTGTCTCCTTGGCCTGAGAGGCCTTATTCCTGCTTTGTCACCTCGCTGACACTGCCCATAATGCAAGACTCAACTCAGAACTTGTAGGGTACTTCCTCTGGGAAGCCTTGCCTGCCCCACAAGCATAATTTCGGACCCTTAAAACTATCTGCCTTCATCACAGCCTGCAACTATTGCTGGTTGGTCATCCCCGTGCAACACATGGGGAGCACTCGAGGCTCCCATGACAGGACCGTGGGCGTCCAGGGGTGGGGCATGGGATGCAAGCCCAACCTTACCTGTCTCTGCGGGCCGGTGGGATCCGACTCTCTCCGTCGAGGGCGGGGTCCCGAGTGCAGGGGTGAGTGGGAAGGGCTGCCGGGCGTGGGGGGCTGCGATGTCTCTGACCGGCCATCAGCCTGGCTCAGCTGGGGCTGCGGGGGCTGGGATGGTGTCTGCCGTGGGTCCTCCTCAGCCAGTGTCTGCATGCTGCGTCCCCGGGGTCGAACGGCAGGCTCTGGCCCTGGCCGCCGCCGCTCTTCGCCCTCCTCGGGCAGCGGTCGCAGCTCCTCCGGCTCCTCATCGGTGGTGCCCGATGTGCTGGGCTCCGCGCCCGGGGGGAAGTCCTTGAGCTCTGTCTCCTTGTCAATGATGACCCACTCCTTGCTGTCGAAGTCCTCCTCCTCGGCCAGGGGCACCGAGCGGAAGGCGTTGCTCAGGGCCTCCTGCTCCACGGAGGCTGACACGTCCATGCGGCCGCTGGCCTGCCGGTCAGCCTGGCCCGTGTCCACGGACAGCATCTGGGCCGGCTGTGAGGAGCAGGCCTGGCGCGAGGGTGAGCCAGGCAGGTCCATTCGCGACCTGCAAAGCCACCCCAGGTGAGGCTCAGAGCCCGGCCTCTCCGGACCCCCAAGGACCACACATACTCATAGGTGGCAGGGGGGACCATGACACCCAGACCTTCCTAGCCATGGCACCTCTCCCACCCTGGGCCAGGCCCAGTCACCTCCCGGATTCTCACCCTCCACCCCCACTCCCTGTAAAGATCTCATTCATTCAACACAGTTTTTGAATGCTTACTGTGTTACAGGAATATAAACACGCAGGAAATAACATCTGGCACCTGTGCCCAAGGGACACTCTCCTGCAGACCCCCCCAGGGAAACTTAATCCGCCAAAAGCCAACTTTCTGTTTGCCTGTCCAGTGCTCACACCCCATCTGGAGCTCCCTCCAGCTGCATCTGGGGCAGACGCCTGCTTGGCCCTTGAGTATTGCAGATGGCCTTTCTAACCTCTTCTACCATCACCCTCCAGGCCTGCCTAGCTGGTTTCGCACCACCGTCAATAAACTCCAATGGCCGCCAGCCCCGAGGACAAAGTCCACATTCCTTAGCTTGGCCCTCATGGTCCTTGACACCAGATTAAGGCCCAGCTTCTCCATTCTCCTCGCCAGACCCACCTCAGATTCACACGCTTTTCCCCAAATTGCCCATGCGCTCACACCTCTGTTCCTTGGAGCATGCTGTTCCCTCGACACAGCCTGTCCTTGCACCCTCTGCTGTCCATCCCCGCTCAGATGTCACTTCCTGCAGGGAACCTGTCCGTCCTACATGGGGTTAGTTTGCTCTCCCAGTGCTCCCTCTGTCCCCTCTCTTTACAGAGCAGAGCACACGTTTGCTTAGGTAGCTGCCTCCCCAGGAGTGAGGGACCGGGTCCCATTTGACTGTTCACCTCTGGCGCACTGACTTTGCCTTGGGACATCGCTTTTGTTGTTATCTTCAACTGTGCTGTGATTCTCACATTACTTCCAGAGTTTCTCAGCCGGGGGTGTACTGGCCCCAACATGAGGGTATTTCTGGTTATATGAAGTGTGTGTGGCAGGGAGGGTGCTACACAAGGAAGATCTGTCCTCTCCCAAATGCCAGGGTGCCCCCAGAGAACCACGAAGGCTGAGCTCCTGTGGGGTGTGCACATCCTCACACTCGGGCTATGCGCAGGGGACTGACTTTCACTCTCCCCCAGCATGGAGCCTGTGAGAGGGAGGGGTGCAGATGGAAGCCACCTGTGGAGCTTTCTCAACATATTGCTGCCCTGGCCTACCTGGGACCTGGCAACTCTGATGCTACACAATCTTTTTATTGATTTGTTAATAAGCCTTAAAATAAAAACACCCCTGAGGGAGGTCACTCAGGGTCTGACATTTATACTCCCATGTAAATGGCTGATGTAACTTCCTTTCCTGAGAGCTTGGGTTTTTTGGGGTTTTTTTAAACTTTTATTGGGGAACAGTGTGCTTTCCTAGGACCCATCAGCTCCAAGTCAAGTAGTTGTTTCAATCTAGTAGTGGAGGGCACATCTGTGGGGATCGAACCAGCAACCTTGGTGTTATGAGCCTGCGCTCTAACCACCTGAGCTAACCGGCCACCCCGAGCTTGGTTTGTTTTGACGGACAGAAAAGAGAGAGAGGGTGCCAAAGAGAGAGAGGAGCTGCAGATCAGGGGCTGAGGTGGGGAGTGGGAAGTGAAGAGGGGTGGGAGGTGAGAAATCCAAACCCCATCTGCTTCATGCTTTCTCCTGCACCCCAGCGCCCCAGGGCCCATCCAACCCTTCTGCCCTGCCGATGAGATCCTGAAACTGCCCTTCCAGGGAAGTCTCTCCTCGGCCCTCTCCGTTCCCCACTATCCCTGAAACAAGAGTTCACTCTGAGCTCTTCAGGACTGTCTTTGCTCGGGGCATTTTCTCACCTGTCTTCTCCATTCATAGCCCTTCCAAACTGCACTCTTTCATTTCTCTCCATTTCCAGACCCCTACAGGCTACCATGGATGAAAATGTAGGCTGACCTGTATGAGTGTGTGTGTGTGTGTGTGTGTGTGT